CCACTGACAAAGAAAGCTACAATTTTAATGCTAGGTTTATTTGAACAGTGAGAGACAGAATAATAACAAAAAATCCGGGAAAACGCATGTCAAAAATGTTATAAATTGATTTGCATTTTAATAAGGGAAATAAGTATTTGACCCCCTCTCAATCAGAAAGATTTCTCGCTCCCAGGTGTCTTTTATACAAGTAATGAGCTGAGATTAGGAGCACACTCTTAAAGGGAGTGCTCCTAATCTCAGCTTGTTACCTGTATAAAAGACACCTGTCCACAGAAGCAATGAATCAGATTCCAAACTCTCCACCATGGCCAAGACCAAAGAGCTCTCCAAGGATGTCAGGGACAAGATTGTAGACCTACACAAGGCTGGAATGGGCTACCAGACCATTGCCAAGCAGCTTGGTGAGAAGGTGACAACAGTTGGTGCGATTATTCGCAAACGGAAGAAACACAAAAGAACTGTCAATCTCCCTCGGCCTTGGGCTCCATGCAAGATCTCACCTCGTGGAGTGGCTATGATCATGAGAACTGTGAGGAATCAACCCAGAACTACACGGGAGGATCTTGTCAATGATCTCAAGGCAGCTGGGATCATAGTCACCAAGAAAACAATTGGTAACACACTATTCCGTGAAGAACTGAAATCCTTCAGCGCCCGCAAGGTCCCCCTGCTCAAGAAAGCACATATACATGCCCGTCTGAAGTTTGCCAATGAACATCTGAATGATTCAGAGGACAACTGGGTGAAAGTGTTGTGGTCAGATGAGACCAAAATGGAGCTCTTTGGCATCAACTCAACTCGCCGTGTTTGGAGGAGGAATGCTGCCTATGACCCCAAGAACACCATCCCCACCGTCAAACATGGAGGTGGAAACATTATGCTTTGGGGGTGTTTTTCCGCTAAGGGGACAGGACAACTTCACCTCATCAAAGGGACGATGGACGGGGCCATGTACCGTCAAATCTTGGGTGAGAACCTCTTTCCCTCAGCCAGGGCATTGAAAATGGGTCGTGGATGGGTATTCCAGCATGACAATGACCCAAAACATACGGCCAAGGCAACAAAGAAGTGGCTCAAGAAGAAGCACATTAAGGTCCTGGAGTGGCCTAGCCAGTCTCCTGACCTTAATCCCATAGAACATCTGTGGAGGGAGCTGAAGGTTCGAGTTGCCAAACGTCAGCCTCGAAATCTTAATGACTTGGAGAAGATCTGCAAATAGCAGTGGGACAAAATCCCTCCTGAGATGTGTGCAAACTTTGTGGCCAACTACAAGAAACGTCTGACCTCTGTGATTTCCAACAAGGGTTTTGCCACCAAGTACTAAGTCATGTTTTGCAGTGGGGTCAAATACTTATTTCCCTCATTAAAATACAAATCCATTTATAACATTTTTAACATGCGTTTTCCTGGATTTTTTTCTTGTTATTCTGTATCTCACTGTTCAAATAAACCTACCATTAAAATGATAGACTGATCATTTCTTTGTCAGTGGGCAAACCTACAAAATCAGCAGGGGATCAAATACTTTTTCCCTCACTGTACGCTTGTTACCAAGAAAAATGACTCATAGCATGCCGGGTTCGTAACACGCAGTGCGCTAACCACCGTGCCACCGCTCTGAACACCCCCCACCCCCCTTATACAAGCCTTATGCATGCACACGTGCGACGTACCAGCTCAACACCCGCAATCGTCGCCTTTGAGGGGTTTATTTTTGTTCATTTAAAAGCCGCGTCCGGCTGTCTGCCGCGTGCGTCTAACCTGCAGTGTATTTACTATTTACACAGGCTGGGTGCCAGGCGGCGCATCACGCAGGGCCTCTGACAGCCCCGGCCGGTGGGTGGTGCCAGCTCCCCCCCCCCCCCCGCCTAATTAGCCATGCGATTGATGGCTCTAATACACGGCAATCCGGGTCCACGTCGCAATCAGCGCCGTCAATCGCCCCGCGTCTCCTCCACCCACTTTGCATCACAAAAGGGGAGGCGTGCGTCACGCGGTTCCGCACCGCTTCGCTGCGCACGCAGGGCCCTCTCTGGCTCGGCTTGTGCGACTGTCCGCGTAGCCAAACTGTCGGCGCTGCTATTGTGTGTTGAACAACAACAACAACAACTCAACGCGTCCTTCAATAACGTTGGAAATGTATCAAGCAGGCGACGTTTCGGATAATGGATCTTCCACGTAGCAGAGTGATGATATTGGCAGTGTCTCGGGCAATTTCCCTGTCTTAATGTTAGGGAGATAATGTCGGTGACATTTTGGGCAATGACCCATCGTCATAGCGGAGAGATTGTCTCGAATGTATTGATGTGTCTTTGTTATTTGTGCGAATGCACCACTGCCAACAGATAATCGCAAGCATAAAATCGATACATTAATAAACAAAAACTCACACTACGGTCTGTCTAATCACGAAAAAAAACGAAATAGCATTGCCACATAAGCCAAATGGGGAGCAGTATGTGCTTAAATGTGTAAAAATAGATATGGGCCGCTTCCCATTGCTCTGAGTCATCAGCTGGTTGTGGCCTGTTTTACCACAAATGAGTCTGTGTTTGATATTTGTATTCAAGATCCCTCCACGAATACCATCTGGCCCGCTCACAATGCCAAACAGCAAAATGCATTTAATATCGTGATTCTGATCTTTAAATACCAAATATCGAATAAATAAAAACGATCACAGGCATTGGTAAACATGAAATAGCCGTACTGAGACGACACGCAGAAAGTAGCATTACCTGTGTACTCGTGAATAAACTCACGCTCGTCAACAACGCTGTGGCCTTAAAAGAAAACATTCAATCAGTCACATATTGGGCAATGGCTTTTCTTCATAGCACACAAACAGAAAAAGGCCAGAGAGGTCGTTAGTGAGCGCTGAGGACTGCACTTAACCCCATGGGGCTGATGAGAATTACATTTTGAAAATGGCGACGCAGCATCGTCAAATAATGTGTATAGAAATCAGAAGAGGAGATTGGGAGATTTGGCTATTTTACAACGAAGCTAGACGATATTTTCTAAAACTTGGATTCCATAAAATAAAGGCATAAACGTAAATAAATACAAATATCATCATGGATTTTCTAATAGCACTGAGATTATAATAACCGATGATAATTGATTTTAAAGTATTGTTCAATAACTTAATGTTGACGCCTGCATAGCTCTCAAGACGAATTTGATCAAAACAAAAGTCAGACAGAGAGCTGGAGAACACATCGGAGTATTTAAACCTGCGGCAGTGTTTGTAGGTGGACTGGGATATGATAATCTATATAAAATCCGTACAAGTGCTTTTAGAAAAGCGAACATGCAATTTACACGCCACAACGATATCTCTCCATCTAAATAAGTTCAAGCCTCCGTAAATCACGTGATGGCTGTGTGGCCCCACTCACTCTGAATCCCTCCCTTCTCCCCCGCCTCCTGTGAAAACAGATGCTGTTCCATGCAGCTCACTTGAGCTTCGTCGTTCTCTCTCCGTGTCCTTCTCATCACCACCCCCTCATCTTTGGCGTCTTGGCCCAGTCAGTCCTCCCCCTCCTCTCTTCCTGCTGCCCTCATCTTCAGCCGTGCCCTCCTCCTCTTTGTCCGCTTTGGGGACTTCCCGTCCCCGCAATCCCCTTCCTTTTCTCTTGCCCTTTTGTGCGACTTTTCCTTCGAGGAACAATAATAGAAGCCACCCTCAACTTTGCACGATGTCTGTGCCCCTTGCTGTAACTACCTCCACGACGCCATACACACACACACACACCATTCCCTACCCACTTCACTTCCTTCCCGCGGCATGTATTCAGGTAAGACCGATGATGGGACCGACTGATACATGGAATATACTAAGCCTACCTCCGAAGAGTTTCCGTTACCATGGCGGTCCCGTAGCCGGATGCACGATCACGCGAACCGTTGTCCCCTCCTCCGATCTTTACTCAAATTAATCTCGCAATGAAGCAGTGCCCAATGATCTATTATTTATTATATTTACATTTTACCAGGTATGGCCCACCGAGCCATATAGCTCTTTTTCAGAAGCGACCTGGCCACAAATGATAGATCAGCCAAGTAGCAGCCAAATACTCTAAACGGAGGACCCGGAGAAAAATCCACACGACCACGGGGAGAGAGACACGCAAACTCCAAATATACAGCAGGCGTCATGGTCGGGATCGAACCCATGACCTCTTGCATACCAGGCGAGGTAGTTAACATCTCGCCACCGTGGCGATGATGAAGCATCCTCTGGCTCGCCATCGTTTATAGAGTTTACAACGCATGATATTACCGTATTCTCTAGATTATAAGAACACGCGCCCCCACCCCATACCCCCCATTACTTTAAAAAACACATTCCTGCGGAGGGAGCTGGTAGGAACGTTGGGTTGCTCGTCAATGGCCAGGGTCAACGGCGGCGTGGTGTATTCCGCAAATATGCCCGACTGTGAGGGCGGGCACAAGCCGGCGTGAGTAGGTTAAACGTTGAGTTTTATAAGGGCACCACGGGGTGACCAGCCCCTCCCCACCCAGCCCCACCCCACCCAGCCCCACCCCTCCCACCCCCCACCCAGCCCCACCCTCCCCACCCAGCCCCTCCCCACCCAGCCCCTCCCTACCCTCCCCTCTCCACCCAGCCCCACCCCTCCCACGTGGACAGACATCCACAGACATACACAATTAATCCCCTGCCTCCTGTGAATTAATCCCGGTTGGGCTTCCAGTCCACTACGTTTCGTACCAGTATAAAAACAGTTGACCGTGCGTCTTATCATCCGGTAGAGGTGTGTATTTACGTGTGTAGGCGCGTGACCAGGTTAGTTCGACTTTATAAATAGTACAACTTTATTGGCACCGGGAGACACTTTTCTGGATCGCCTTTATAATCCGGAGAATACGGTAATAAAATAATTGTTTCGAGTGGGATTTTTTTCATGAAAGAAAACGCACGGAGGGAGGGATTTTATTCGGTAGACTCTGTAATTTATAGCGTTAGCAATTACCTCGCGCTGTCGCTTGCCCTCCTCGGCTCAGCAAGGCGACCGGGCCTCCTGAACAAAGACGCCTCTTGTCTCATCAGACACGATGTCCACAGAGAATGGCAGGCGCGGGTTCTTACCTCCGCTGCGGCTCCGCGACATTTGCCGTCTCTGGAGATATCAACAATAAGGGGGGGGGGGGGGGGTGTGCAAAGAGTTGGTGGTGCTTAACCCATTTGCGGGGGGGGGATGGCAAGGAAGAAAATAAGAGTGTCTTTACTCTTTGTTTTTTTCGGTAAAGTCACGTAGGTAAAACTATAAAATAAAAGAATAAATGAAAACAAATTAAATCACGACGTTTCGGGCGCAACACAAGCGTCCTTCTTCAGGTGGGGATAAAGTAGCGAAAGCTACTAAATTTAAAGTATTTTCTTACTAAATAAACAAACTTATAAGCTACGTATCTACATATACGAGATGTTTGATTCTCAGATACATTTTGCCTTCCTTTAAGTCAGGGTTATGCAACTACATTTCCCAACGGGCCTCAATGAAGTAAGTTGTGCGCCTGCGGGCCACGTGGATGTCACGTGCCACGTGCACAGACGTTGTGACGTCACGCGGCATCGCAACGTCTAAACATGCGACCCACTCGTGTGTATCTTGTTGTCCCGTTTTCGTCTCGCTAATCTTTGCGTTATCTACAACTCTCTCTCTCATCTATCTCTTACATAGCCCTCTTTCATCTCAATAATCTGCGGCATCTCTTTAAAATCACGGCGGAGCCCATTCCCAGAGCCTTCGTCGGTCACGTCTGGCCCACGGGCCCGAAATTGCAAAGGACCCTGATTTAAGTAAACAAAAGAAGAAAGTACTTCAGCCTTCCACTTTATCTATCAAAGCAGCAATCTAGACACTGTGAAACAAGTCATGCATTTACGCACGGTATTTATCTTCACCGCAAGCATGTCTTGGCGCCGGATTAATGAACGGGATATTAAATATGGAATATTGGTTGAAGAGCCTATACCAAATGAAGAGAAATTCGTCCGATTTCGTCAGAAGCTAAGCAGGTTCAGCCTGGACCATGCTGGAAAGGCGAATACCACGCATAAAGCACATGCTGGCTGCTGCTGCAATATAAATTGTTGGACTGTACTACGCTCCAACGTCTATTTTCTCCACGTCTTCGCCAACCACGCACTGGCCAAGCATGGTGTAAAGTATGGTCAAGCAACCCCACGACCCGCACGGCGTGGGTTAGACACTCATCCAGCAGTGGAATAAACCAAAGGGGCTGTACCTACAAGTAGACTGGCTGAAGAAGAGCACCATCGAGCAGAGATATTGTGAAGATGCGTTGGCGAACGCGCTTGCCTGCATCGAAATAGAAGCTTGATTGCATTGCCCACGTACGTACTTTAAAATAATGATCTGTGTTGTGAACTATCGGTGCAACTATTATATCGATTCTAAATATAGATAATACACGGTTAGAATTCCGGGTAAGACTCGACGATATTAACTTCGTGTGTGCGTTGCATTGTCATGCGTTCACACGACTCGTACTGCAGCCATTAGTGGCCGCTACAGTAATCGCAATGTTTATTTTAAATACTCGATTCTTTTAATCGCGTAGCGGCTACCACGAGTTGCGAAAAATAATCGAATATCGGCCGGGTGGGATTGTTTGATGGGGTTTGAATCGTTCATTTCATAGTTTCATAGTTTCATTTGTTTGGTACAGCCCTGTGAGTAATTCGGCTCTTGAATCGGGTGCAACCGCAACAAACCAAAAAAAAACACGAACCAGAAAACATCTTCAAGTGACTTTGTGCATGTGCAAACAGAAAATCCGGGGAAAAAAAACCATCAAAATATTCCTAAAATAGCACCGTACACCAACGCTCGACGGTTTTGCCGCACAATTTCAATTCAGAGAGCTGAACGCGCGGTTGCCACTAGAGGCGCGATGGCCAGGACTGCGATTCGGGAGGCTGGAGCGCACGAGGCGCGGCGGCGGTCAGTGTGTGCACAGAACACGAGACACAACAATGAGCGGGTATGAATGAGAACACTTGGGATTAACCAAGTGAGAGGGTCGTTTGAGAGGGAGCCTCTGTTGAGAGAGGGAGAGAGAGAGAAAGAGAGATGAGGGGAAATGCCGCACGGAACACGCGAGCAGTAAAAGCGTAAACAGTCAAGAGCCTTTGCGGTTGCGATAAAATACAACTTTTTGTTTAGACTATCATGCTTTTCAGATCACAGTTTTCCCATTTTGGCATTTGTTTGTTTAAATAGCACACTCTGGGCCGGCTTTCAACGTTTTGAGACTCATCAGTACAATCAGGCCATTTTTTTTTTTTTTTAAATGAGAAGAGACAGACGTTGTTGTTGGGATTTTCTATTACCCACGATCATCCAGGGCAATGTACAGCGAGTGCAGCAAATCCTTGCCCATCGCGGGGCCCACGTTCTTGAGAAAAGCCGTAATTGGCAAAACAGACATCCGCAAACTCAAAAGCAAATGGGAAAACTAGGGTTTGGTTCACCGTTCACAATACAACAGCCCCTCCTTTTGTTTCAAGTTAGCCTACATCAACCCAATTACAGCATTCCCTCGTTGTTTACAAACTTGTTATCCGCGATTTTGGCTCTCCGCGAATCGCACCCGAAACTCTACGCGACTGCATCGAGAAAGTGATTAGGTAACGTGATGAGAGAGAAAGTGATGAGGTAAAGTGATGAGACATCATATGATGAGCGATAAAGTGATGAGATAGAATGTGATCAGAGAGCATGTGATGCGATAAAGTGATGAGAGAGACAGTGACGAGATAAAAGAGATGAGCTATACACAGAGAGATAACTTCTAGAAACGTTAGAAGCACATGCAGACGTTGCGCGTACGATAATCGTATGCCAATATCATTATCTGTGAAACGTGCTATTCACGAGCATCTCCAGAACGTATCGCACGCGAATAACAAGGGGATGCTGTATTTGTAATTTGGATTAAGGTTAATATTTTCTAGTGTTAAGGTAGATGTATATAAGTCAACAAATGAATGTAGTGTACAGTACTGTACACGTATCCTTGTCCAGGAATGCACACTAAAGGAAGAAAAATCCCGGGCGGCTGAACCTCACTGCCTCCGCACCCGAGGCTGGAAACACGACGTGACTTGGGACCCGCGAGAGTCGGCACGGGAGACAAGGCGAGTGCGTTCATCCGCGGCAGCATCGTCATGAGCAGTACCGTTACGATGCGTACAGGAATCTCGCGGTCGACCGCGAATGGTCGAGCCACGGGGGCGCGATCGGCAAAAGTTAACCTCGATCGATCCGGCGCAAAAAAACCTCGATAGCTGAATCCGCGAGGGGGAAGGGTTTGCTGCATAGAACAAGCAGAAATGTCAATCCACTGCTGGATGAGAGTCCCTCCTCCCCCCCCCCCTCCTTTCCCACCTCCTCACGCCGTGCGGATCCGTGGATATAATTTGACCATAGTTCATTAGGGGCTGTCCATAAATGACGTCACGCACCTGGGGGGGGGGGGGGGGTCAGACATTTGTGACGATGTGTGACGAGGGGGGGGGGGGGGGGGTTGAGAAATATGGCGTCACATAAAAATGCGCAACTTTAAATAAATATAGACAACACGTTCTACTTAATTAAATAATTAAAGACTTTTTAATAAATGTTCTCTCCTACAACATCAGAGTGCAGCGCCACATTACATAAGATCTACAATGACAATAGTTTAAAGCGATTTGAAGCATGTTTTATTTGGGGGGGGGGCAGAGCTTTGTGACGTCATATTTGAGGGGGGGTCTGAATTTTTGTGACGCCGTGTGACGAGGGGGGGGGGGGGTCAAAAATCGTCCAAAATCGCGTGACGTCATTTATGGACGGCCCCTTACGCCGGTCAATGCGGGTTGGTGAATGAGACGTTTTACTTTATCGCGTGTGCGATCCAATGCATTAGTTGTAATGTTAGTCCACGAGCCCAGACCAGATCCTTCACTCGTCAGTGCCACATGGGCTAGCATCATTTTAGCGGTTCCAATTTCTCTATGTGGCCAATAAACAATTGATTATGAAATAATCTCTTAAAATTAGTGGGGTTATTAGCCAAGTAAATACATCTATACTATTTTAAGTAGTTCCCGTGTCCGTTCTGGCTCATTGGACTCGGAAATGGTGAGTGCTCGCTTAACGCATATTCTGACTATGATGCGTTTTCGCTATAAAGCAGCTCTTCCATTCGGGAATACTTCTGAAAATGCGGAACGCGCCAGTTATAACACGGCACGCGTCCATTGTAACGCAGTTTCTGAGTGCTCGATGATTAACGACTTTTTTTAAAGCCGCACGGCTGAGCGATATGATACACTTCGCGGAATTATACAGTAACACGGCGACGTACCCTTAGTTAGTTGTCCTGCCGCTTCAACTCTGTGTGCGTGCTTCGTATCTCTCCACACTTTATCGCTGCATCATTAATGGGGAAATTGTTTTCGCTTCACGAGTGGTTTGCTTAATGCCGCAACTTTTCAGGAACGCGTCCACCACGTTAAACGAGGGCTTACTCGAAAGTGAATCTAATGGGAAGCGAAACCTGAGCACGTGATGGGTGACATGTGGTGAGTGACACGTGGTGGGCGACTCACAAGCTAAAGACATGCAAGAGCAGGTCCTGTTTCCCCGGGTTGGCCTTCCATCCCCTTGGTGGCCTTCCATCCATATTAGCTATCCATTGGGGTCGATAAAATCAGTACCATGTTGGGGGAAGCCAATGGTTTGATGGCTCTACAAGTTGACTCATGCACCAGCATGTGGAATGGAATGTACACATGTGACTCACAAGGCAGAGGGAGGAGAGTCGCCTCGAGGTTTGATATTTAAAAAATATATTAAATAGCCATGAGTCTGTGCGTCATCTTAATATTTACACCCCCCATCCCCCACGCCATGCGCTGTGGACGTAATACGAAACCACATTTTTAACAGCAAAAGTGTTAACTACCTCGCCTGGAATACAGGAGGTCGTGGGTTCGACCACGACCCTGACGCCGTTACATTTGGTGTTTGGATGTCTCTCTCCCCGTGGTCGCGGTCTTACCCTTCCACATTTTTTTTAGAATCAACGCAAGTTTGCAGTATTTGGC